GCTAAACACCGGCGTACCCCCTCAAACAGTCCCGTCCACGACAATCAGATGCGCTGCTTGCTTGCACTTGACAGGCTGATCAAGCCTCCTAGAAAGAGGATTGACAACTTTCACTGGGAGAAAGTAACAAAACATCTGCAACTTTTTACCCAGGCAGATTTTGAATGTTGGAGTTGCACCACTGAGATCAGCATCAGAAAGTAGATCATGCATTCCGAATTTTGATTGCATGGTACCCCGTGGGCTGTCTAATCATCAAGCGTTGCTACGCTACTGCCATAAATCTAGGCATAATGAGCCATCAAAATTCTCGCAGAAGCGCTGGGCTGAGACTTCAACAAGTGGTTGCTCATAGGGTTTGTGGTGATAAGCGAATGATGAATCCTGACTCATTCAGCACGTAACATACCGTGGTTGTGTTGAGTTATTTAATGTACAACATTAGTGGGTTGTGGTGGTAGGTAACTATAGTATCATGTGACCCCCTCTCTCCCTCCTGTGTGATCCCCTTTCGGTTGTCCTCTGCAGTGTTCGATAACTTGGTATGGTATTAAACTAGACTCTGCTCACAAAAGGGTGGGGACAAGCCTTACGTAGGATTAAATCTTGGACTGGAAAGTCCCCAGCCCCTTTGCCACCGGCTCACCCCCCCTCCCTTGTTCACCCCCTCCCTCCACAAGCTGCATGGCGGTCGTCCTCAAACAGCCATTCAAATAGATGATGTATGTAGGACTATGTGTGGGATGGCGCTAGCAACGTCTGCTTTTGTACCGCTTGCACCGTTCAACAACATGATAATGTTGGTGTTGCGTAGTTCCTAGTCAACGTGTTCACAGTGATATAGCCTAAAGCAACACGCTGTTGTACTGTTCAGGCGGCACTGAGAGAGGCCGCTGAGGCGTTGCAGCTGATGAGTTTTGAAGATGACGGCAGTGGGGCGGCAGCGGTGGCAGCAGCTAACCTTCCTGCTCGGCAGTCGGGAGCGCAGGCTTGGCGCAGTGCACGAGGAGAGACAGGTGCGGTGTTGGGCTGTCCTGGTTCAGCTCACAGCCTGTGCATTTCGTGCATGGAGCTTTCATGGTCTAGGGCTGCGCGTAATGCGGCATCAACACATCCAGATGTGATTTAGGCGACATGCATAACGTTTTTGTGTTTGTTGTTTTTTCTTTTGTGAGAGCTTGTGGCCTTGAGTTGGCAGGTAAAGGCGCAACACATCATATGCAAAATCGTTGCAATTATGCTCCGCCAGTTGGGTATGCTGGACCCCAATACGTTGATGTAACTGTGCTACGAGCTTCATGTATGCGCAATGTTTGCACAGTGAAGCAATGCCCCCTTTTTTTCACTGTGAAGGCGCCTGCTTGATGGCAGTGCTGCTGGGAGCTGAATGATAAACTGATAAGAATAGCATGCTCTGCCACGTCCTTGACTCGTCTGACACATGCACACAACGTTGCAATGCCCTACTCAATGGGGATGCACTACTGGCTGCGGACACCTAACGGCACACACATGTTGTGTGCGGCTTCTTGTGGTGCAACGAATGCAGGTGGCGAAGTGACCGCACAATCACGCAGTGCTGGACACGCCACATCGTATCAGCGCGCACATGATGATGCATTGCCTCCTCTTTTCGCTGCTGCTGGCCGCATCACTGGTGGCGCTTGTCGTGCTTCTGGTGAGCACAGAGGTGGGCAACCTAGCCAGCAAGCCCTGCGGGCGTTCGACGGAAGTTTGAGCAGCAAGTGGTTGGACTTTGGAGGTGGAGGCTCAGACGGCGCTGCCTGGCTTGAATATCAACTGCTTCCTAGGCAAGATGCTGTGATCTTGAGCCATTACGACATGGTGGTTGCAGAAGATTGCCCCGAGCGTGATCCGCGTGATTGGGTCCTTGAGTGCATACCTGAACGACCAAACGCTGACACCAGCAGCAGTGGAAGCAGCAGCAACCTTGATGCCGGGTGGGTTGTGCTGGACCAGCGATGTGGTGAGCACTTTCACCGGCGCCACCAATTACGCAGCTTCTTGGTGCCAGAGGCAGCTCGGATCGCGAGTCGGCAATGGCGATTGCGCATCACGTGTGCTGCAAATCCTTCAACGGCCAACTCGGTGCAGGTAGCTTGCTTAAATCTTTACAGCAGCATTGTTGCACTGCGTGTTTTGCATGGGCAACGTGAGCAGCAGCAATGGCACATGCAGAGTTCGTCGCTGCCTCAGCCGCAAGGGATGCCCTTGTGTCTGTTGTACTTCAGCTTGGACCACTGGTGCAACATCACAAGGTTATTGGCATGCGGTGCTGCTGCTAGTGACGGCGACCGCGCCAGTGCAAGTGAGTTGCATGATAGTGTCTTGGACACAGAATGTGGCGTTGTGCAACGCATCATCAACAACATGTTTGAGTACCCCAACAATGCTAAGTTCTGGCAGCTGGGGACTCGGGGGAGCAAGATCCAACCCGTGTTGCGTCACCCTTCCATGCTAGCACTACTGCTACAGGTTGGCTTTAGGCCGATGATGGACTTGTCGCCTGAAGTTAGCGTCACGGAACAACATGTGCGGCTTGTTGCAGATGGAAGCAGCCGTGAGAACATTGCATTGCTGCGTGCGCTGAAGGAATAACGTGCATGTGTCCTGTTGGTAGTGGTGGATATCAACTAGAGGGTAAAGCAAGTTGAGTGAGTTGTGTTTGTTGTTGAGCGGGACATTTGTGATTGAGCGGGACATGGACAGAACTGCCTGGCCTCACACGGAATTAGTGCATGCTTTCCCCTCCGGAGAGGAGCCGCAATCCCGCGTGGTACCACTAGCCAACATGAGTGAAACCTTGGCCACCGTAGGCATGGAGACAGGCGAGCTGGGCTCCTCCAATCAGGAGTCTGGTAGGGCCATCCATGCACGAGTATGCACCTTGCTTCAGTGTGAGTGGGGTTTTCACATATGCGCAACCACACAAGGACTACCACTTGAAGTAAAGCGATGTGTACCCACACACATGGCCCTCATAACTTAGGTGCATGTTCTACCATGTATGTGAAGTTTTGTTACAGGCCGCAAGGCATGCAAGATGCAGTAAAGCACATGTGATGTAATGATGATGATGTGATGTAATGATGTTTGGCCACCACCAAAGAAGAATGGGTGTGTAGATGTCAACAGTCACATCGGCAACAGGCAGAATCGAGACGCAAGAGTGGAGCAAATAACCGTTATAGTGGGTTGAACCACTGGTAGAACCATCCATGCACGAGTTTGCACGATGCTTCAGCCTGAGTGATTTATCCATATACGTGCAACCACACAAGGATTACCACTTGAAGTAGAGCCCGGTGTACCCACACAGATGGCCCTCATAACTTGGGTGCATCGTCTACCATGTTTATGAAGAAAATGACGCAGGTTGAAGGTCATGCAGCAATTGATGGTGATTGGAACAATGGTAGGGCCATTCATGCATGAGTATGCACCATACTTGTGTGGGAGGGGGTTCAACGTTGAACGCCCACGCGCAACCACACAAGGTCTACCACCATGCACAAATTCGCTGTAACCCCTTATATGTGGTCCCAAACATTGACATGTGTGCTTGTCATCATTATTGCAGCTAATGATGCTGATTGGAGTAACGGTAGGGCCATCCATGCACGAGTATGCACCATATTTGTGTGTGAGGGGTTTGACCATGGTTGTGGCGCAACCACAAAGGTCTACCACCTTGCACAAATCTGATGTACCCCTCACATATGGTCCTACAATTTTGGGAGTATAATTCACAAGGTATAGGCAGCAAGTGATGGTGATTGGAGCAAATGGTAGGGCCGCCCATGCACGAGTACGTACCATACTTGTGTGTGAGGGGAATGAATAAATGAATGAGCTACGCGTGATGTGTTGACACTTAACACCCGCGTAAGTTCAAAAAGGGGGCGTGTGTGACGATGAGGTAACCTCATGCGCCTTCACGCACCCTACCATCCCTACCGGTCCCGAGGGGCCGGTATGGTACCCGTGGGGCTAAGAGTTATTTCCTAGATTTCTTTGTTTTTCTGTGTTGAGGGGCAGAGGTGAAGTTGGTGCGATTGGTGCCTGTAGGCGGTCCTTTCTTTGATCCAAGTTTGTTCTGCAGCAGTGCTCTACTGTGCTTCCACATCTCGCCAACTGCTTGCACCGACTTGAAGTGCAGTTTGTGCAACAGGGTTTCCAGCGGGCGTCCGTTGACTCCTAGATCATTGGATAGGGTTTGTCCAAAATTTTTGTATATTGTACCCCCACTCCTAGTAGAAGGGTGCAGTGCTTGACTCTAGCATTTTTGTCATACTCTTTGAGTGTGCTGACCAACTGTTTGTGTTGCTTGACGGCTCTGGCTTCTTGGTCCTCTGGCTTGGTGTCTCTGCAGTACTTGACCTCTATCACAGTGTATTCTCTGCGGCGGTTTTTGCGGTCGATTTTGTAGAGGAAAGCGTCTGGTATGCTGAGCTTTGCTAGCTTCGTCCTGACCGTTTTTGGTATGCTGGCCGGGAGCGCCGCATTTGACAGGGTGCGGGTGATGTCCAGGGTATCTTTGCCTTGAGCCTGGCGACGTTTGTTCAGGCCCACGTCAGCTGCTATGAGTTGGCTGCCTTCTTCTCCCATGTCAATCGCCTCGACAATCAAGCTGCCAGCATCGTTGTGCCGTAGTGTAGCTTTTATCAGTAGCTTGCGGCATCCGCTCATCGCGTGGTGACCGCTGTCCTCCTCGCCGCATAGCGGGCAGAGGTTGGTTTCCGTCTTTTTGTAGCGTTTAAGAAGTTAGTATGTCGGCAGCAGTCCGTATCGATATTGTAGCACAAGTTTCCGTTTGTAGCTTTTTACAGTTGTGCTGGTCATGTAACGGTTCGCCACTGAAGAAGTGGTAACCTGAGGGTACACACCCTTATATACTGAGGATGGCCTCTCAGAGGCATCGCTCGAGAGGCGCGTAGCCTCTTGCCGGTTCGGAACCCTCACATTGGTAGCTGAGACGGTCTCCGTAGCTCAATGGTTAGAGCATTCGATTTGGAATCCTGGGCGGATCCAGGTACGGGGAGGTCCTTGGTTCGAACCCGGCCGAGCGAAAAAATTTGAGGCGCACATCAGAGGGTCACCACGATTACGAACCATAAGGTACATGGTTCAATTCCCGGCTCGAACGAGGACGTTCGAGAGCCGAGGGGGGACGTATGTAACGGTTCGCCACTGAAGAAGTGGTAACCTGAGGGTACACACCCTTATATACTGAGGATGGCCTCTCAGAGGCATCGCTCGAGAGGCGCGTAGCCTCTTGCCGGTTCGGAACCCTCACAGGTCATGAACAAATGATTGTTTCGGTGATCTATCTTTTTTACCATGTCTGTCCAGCTGGCATGGTACACAATATTTGTGTTGGATTGTCCTAGGTGGCAGATGCTGTGAATGCGGGCTTTCAAGGAATCTTTCATGTTGGGTTCCGGGAAAAGGGCAGTGTCGGCGGGCTGATCATCGGCCTCTCATGCAGCAGCGGCAACCGCAGCTATTGCTTCGGCTGCTTTATTAGGTTTGATCTCGGTTTCCGTGTACAGCCAGTACATGTCGTCTCTGTTGTTACTTGCGTCTTTATACTCATGAAAGTCTTCGTGATCAGCTGCATCAAGGCCTTTGGACACGGCACAGCTGTTGTATCGGCCATTTCATTGCCCACAATGCCAGCATGGCTCTTCACCTTCCAGATGTGTACCGTGCACATGGATTCAGTAATCGTTTCCACTATGTGTTTCAGTAGTTGCAGGTGCCTGTGTTCCCTCATGTCCTGAGGGCGATTGATGGTCTTCTTGACTTGGTACATGGAGGTTAGGCTATCCGTAGCAATGTGTACGTCGGTGTTATCTGTTTCCTCGCAGTGTTGAATCCCCACCTTGACTGCCATTTGTATGGCCGTTAGTTCTGCTCTGTTGATGGTGTTGACGCATGCTGGGTTACCAGGTCTGTGTGCTGGGCTTCTTTGGATAAAGGAGTTTTGGAAGTTGGCTTTCATACCGGCAGTCCACGGCCATTGTCCTCTCCTCAATGTGCTTGCCCGGGTGGGCTGGGACGTACACGGCCGCCCCGATGCCTGGGAATAGATTTGCGTCTTGTGCCAGTACACTGCCATCTGTGTAGATGAAGTCTCTCCAGTCGAAGGCGGTGTTGGGAGGAGACTGATCAGTGTGTCTCTAGCGGCTCTAACTGCCCTTGGCTGGGCTCCGGCCACATTGGTGTTTTGGCCCGTTAGGTTGACCAAGTCTTGGGTTTTGGGCCCTTTCTTTGTGTCCAGCAGCCGTTTGCTAAACTTACTTGTGATTCTGGTTGTGAACCTGTTTGCTTTCCCTGGTGGGCGCTCTGCTGGTGCTACTTGTACTTCCGGTTCGCGGGTCCACCATGTTGCACGCTCTTCGTGCATCCTGATTTTTGGAGTGCAATTCGGTGTTTCGGACGTTATGGCTGCCTCTAGCGCACGCCGGAATCGTTCCCGCCAAACACCATTGATGGAGCTCTTCCAATACGGCAGATACTTTCGGTAGCCTTCCGCATTTTCCACTGCAATGATGTGTATATTCCACTTCAGACATTGCGACTGTGATGCCGGTGCGAGGGGGCTTTTATCAAGGTGTAGGAGGCCGCTTGGAATGGTTGCTAATTGCTTGCACATGTCGGGGCGGCCCTGCATGGCTTTCATGTAGTTGGCATCTTGGCCAGCCTGCGAGAATGATGGAAGCAGTAGCAATGTCATTGTAGGTGTCTGCGCCTGCGATGCTGAGTGCAGCGCCCATGTTGCCGCCTTTTCTGCTTGAGACTCCGTGAAGTTTGGGCAGGCTGTTGAGGCTCCGGTCCATCTAGTTTTATACGCATCAAAATGAGCCCCGAACACTTGGTCTTGTTTGTGTGCTGACCAGTACTCCGCGCAGCTGTCAGCGACGTCGAGCGGGCTGGCCAACCGCTCTTTTGCGCCGCCCATTGTGTTATGGAGAGAAGTGCGCACTGCCAGCGGTATTGAACGTTGGTTTCTGGCATCGATTATGTAGGTGTTTTCTCCCTTGCCACTACATACTGTGCCGTCTGTGTATCTGCACATCAGTTTGTTGAGTTCCTCTGCAAACGTTCCTGCTCCTAGTTTGCTGAGCACTCGTGCGTGGTGATGTTTCATGTACTCAAAACGTTGGTATAGCTGAGCTGAGGTGTCTACCGGGAGTGTGTGCGTGCACCGGCCATCTGGCTGGTATATGCATGCCTTCAATTCTGTGATTTGTGATCCTTCCGTTTTGTCTTTGTGGTATGTGAGGACTTGCCTAACGAACACCTCGTACTTTCCAGTTGGCTTGATGTCGGTGTGGGGGTTGATTGGATGAGGGTAGATAGCGAGTTGCTTTCTACACAGCTGTCCGACTGTGATGTCATACATGTCTCTGCAGTAGTAACCCCTGCAGGTGGGCTGATCGCACAGCCATGGCATTGCCACAACTGCTTGATCGCCTGTGTGTGACTGAGCTACAGCAATATGATCCGCGAAGTGGCACCCTGGACAATCTGAGCCACACCATCGGCTGCTGGCTCAGAGAGCCGAGATCTCAGGTCGTGAAGTTACATCTCGACAAATGCTGGCATCCAATGCCACAACTGAGACAATGGGTGATTCTTCGCGTGCCGCACGTCGGCACGCACGCAGCAGATATGCACTCAAGCCAGAAGACCAACAGGCATCTGTGACAGTCACTCTGACTTGACTTGCACGAGCTGGACAACATGAACGCCAGCAGACATGCATACCATTGCGTCCAGACATACATGCTACATGGCAAACTAGAGCTAATCGGATGATGGAGCCAATCGGTTACGTCATCCCGTGGGTGGGGTATCGGCGGGTACGCCTCCTGGGTGTCGGCGTCACTTTCTGCTCTCTTCTGATCCCGGGCTGCCATGTGGGCGCTTCTGATGCTGCTTGTGTGCTTGCTTTAGCTTCTTCCCGCTGGCGTAGCTTTTCTCTCTCAAGTTGCAGCATCTGAGTGAGCGCTTCTCGGGTGGCCGATTTTTCAACGGTTAGCCGTGGCTCCAGCGCCTCGGCCCATTCTACCAGACGAAGCACCTTTGGTAGCGTGTCTTTGGTGTAGCTTTCTTTTATGCACTCTTCACATGTCTACGTGTTTGAGCAAGCATGGGGTGCCCCCCTTTCAGCGTTTCGCGGGGGAGGCACCCCGCATACTAGGCACAGGAGCACACCGAGCATGTGTGTACGTCTTGCTCTACATGATTCACCTGCTGCTTGCAAATTCACATGGTCTGCATGTCCCCACGGTGGGCTCGCTTTTCGGCGCAACAGCTACTACCGCTCCTTTATTGTTGTAGTTGAGCGCCAGTGCCGCTTGCACCACCCAACATGGCTGTACCACGGGGGCCCATTGTACCGCGTATTGCTGATAAGTTTCTTTCTCTGTGCTTTCTCTGTGCTATCTCTGTGCTTTTCTCTGTGCTTTTCTCTGTGCTTTTTCTCTGTGCTTTCTTTCTACATTGATCGCTAACCATGGGTGTGGACAAGATGAATGTCGATCCTATCACTGGCGTTAAACGTGCAATGAATGATAGCCCTGAAACTATTCGGGCGATGCTGAGCATGGAGGAGCGGATCACGCAGGCGGTCACTAGTTCCGTGGGCGAGGTCAAGCAGCAGCTCGTGCAGCAGTAGGCTGAAACGAAGCGGCAGTTTCAGCAGATTCATAGCAACCTAAATGAGCTGACAAAAGGCCATGTCCAGCTTCAGCGGGACCACTACGTCCTGTGCGGCAAGGTCGCGAACGTTCGTCAGGCAGTCTCTGACATGCAGCAGCCAGGGACAGTGCTGCACACAGCGCGTTCCAGCATCTTCCGCTTTTTCGGCGTCCCCAAGAAGACTGCAGCACCAGTTGGCCCGGACGGCAGTGGCAGCAGCAGGATGCTGCCCCAGTGGCAGCAGGCACTGCACGGTGCCAAGCACGTGGAGGACGCAGTGCGCGTCCACATCGAGAGCGCCTACCCACACATTCCTATGCCGCCCAAACTCTTCAGCAACGCCATCAGCTGGCAGTACGGCAAGCACACAGGGGACAGCACCAAGCAGTCCCAGCAGATGGTGGTGCTGACGCTCACCGATTCTTCCCTGTGCAGCGCGCTGTTTGCAGTGTCCAAGCAGCTGAAGGAGGTCCACGGCCTCACCTTCACGGTGGAGTGGACCCTGGAGGAGAAGCAGGCGCGCCGGCAGATCGAGGCCTCACCGGCGTTCCAGCGTGCCATGAACAAGGCCAATGCAGAAGGAAAGAAAGCTGTCTGGGACTTTAACACCTGCACCTTTGGCCGCCGCTTGGCAGACATCACAATCTGGGACCTGGCACACATTGCGAAGCTCGGTGAGGAGCAGCAGCAGCTGCGGGCCGCGTAGAGGGGCGGGAGCCAGCGGGAGTGTGGGGGTGTGGTTGGCAGTGGTTCTCAGAGTGCGGTTGAGGGTGATGATGCTGAGTGTCTTGCCTTTTCCGGTGGTGACGAGGATGATTATCGAGACAACGTGCGGCGGCTGACAACACGCGGGACTGCGCGCTCTTCGTGTGAATGTCCATTTAATGTGTGCTTTTGGAATGCTGATGTGCTCAGTGCGGGTAAGCTCGCTGAGGTTTTCAAGCGCTGCAACAACTTCTGGATGTTTGATCTAGTACTAATGGTTGAAGTGGGGTGAGAGGAGCTGCCTGAGGTTTTCCCTGGCTTTCAGTGTGTTGCAGGACAGCCCCGAGTGAACCGCTCTGAGCGGGGCGCCGAGCGCTTCTAGCCACCTAGCAGCCCGCCGTGACTGCATGGTGTTGGTGTCGAAGAAGGTGTTGGGCTTGTGGTCTGTAAAGACTTCAACATCTCTGCCCTCAATGTAACAACGCCACTTTTTGACGCAGTACACCACAGCAAGCATCTCAAGCTCGGTAGGCGAGTAGTTACACTCTGCTGGTGTTGGCTTGCATGACTCGAACGCAATCGGCTGTCCTTTTTGCATTAGAACACCAGACACACCCAAATATGATGCGTCGCACACCATTTCAAACGGTTCCTGA